AAGTCGTAAAGCTGGGGGAGTCTCTAACTGTGGGTGGTAAACTGTTCCACACAACACTGCCCTTATATGAAAACACATTTTGACTGAAAGAGGTTTTTCTATCAGGCACCTCACAGTCTCCTCTGTCTGTGGCCCTGGAGGAGCGACATGAAACACTTCACTTGTGTTTATGTAAAATCTGACTTGATCAACATGGAGAAAAATCGAGTCTTGTTCTAGAACAATGTTTGATCTGATCCGATACTCGGCCGCAGTGTCTGCACCGATACCGATACCAGTCCAATATCGTTTTCACATCTTCCCCACGAGCCTGGAACACCTCCTGATGATCAGAACAGACGTCCTCCCCTCAGACGCTCCTCTCCACGTGGAGGAGCAGCGGCTCTACTCCGAGCTCCCACCTCTGTCTCTAAGGGAGACGCCCGGACGCCCTGCGGAGGAAACTCATCTGTGTCTCTTGTATCGTGGATCTGGTCCTTCGGGTCATGACCAGAGGTGAGGGGAGGAACATCAGCTCCTCTTCATCACAACGACCGATACAGCAACCACATCACTGCACCTGTCCACCTGTCAATCTGCCCACGCTGCACCTGTCCACCTGTCAATCTGCCCACGCTGCACCTGTCCACCTGTCAATCTGCACACGCACCTGTCCACCTGTCATCTGCACCTGCACCTGTCCACCTGTCAATCTGCACACGCTGCACCTGTCCACCTGTCAATCTGCACACGCTGCACCTGTGCACCTGCACTGTCCACTGTCAATCTGCACACGCTGCACCTGTCCACCTGTCAGTCTGCTCACGCCGCACCTGTCCACCTGTCAATCTGCACACGCCGCACCTGTCCACCTGTCAATCTGCACACGCTGCACCTGTCCACCTGTCAATCTGCACACGCTGCACCTGTCCACCTGTCAATCTGCACACGCTGCACCTGTCCACCTGTCAGTCTCTCACTCCAGAACAAGACCCTGAGACACTTGAACTCGTCCACTTGAGGCAGAGACTCTCCACCCGCCCAGAGACAAGACACTTTTTCAGGTCCAGAACCTGGACCTCGGGTTTGGAGGATCTGATCTTCATCCAGACGCTTCACACTCGGGTCAAACCGCCCCAGAGCTGCAGGTCCTGGTCTGATGAAGACAACAGGACAACATCATCTGTGAAGAGCAGAGATGATCCTGTGGTCCTCAAACCGAACCCTCCGACCCCTGACTCAAACTCTCCATAAAAACAATGAACAGAACCAATGACAGGTGCGGCCCTGGCGGAGTCCAACATGCACCAGGAGCAGGTCTGACTCACTGCAGCAATGAACAACCACACTGCTCCTCCTGGACCCGAGGTTGGACGATCGGCTGGATTCTCCTCTCCAGTCCCTGACACAGACCGGGGAGACTGAGGAGTGTGATTCTCCTGGAGTTGGAACACACCCTCCTTCCTCTTCTTCTACAGAGGAACCACCACCCCGGTCTGACAGTCCAGAGGTTCTGTCCCCGACCTCCATGCGATGTTGAAGAGACGTGTCAGACAAGACCCACAACATCCAGAGACTTAAGATCCTCAGGACGGATCATCCACCTCCAGAACCACCAGGAACTTTAACCACCTCAGTGACTTTTGGGTTATGGACAAGTCCGAGTCTCCAGCCTCGACTTCCTCATTGGAAGACGTGACGGTGGGATTGAGGAGATCCTCAAAGTTTTCCTTCCACCACCGGACAACGTCCCCAGTCGAGGTCAGCAGTTCTCCCCCCTCACTGTAAACAGTGTTGGTGAAGAACTGCTTCCCTCCTGAGGCGCCGGACGGTTTGACAGATTTTCCTTGAGGTCGTCCGATAGTCCTCCTCCATGTTCTTCCTGAACTCCTCCCAGCTCCGAGTTTTTGCCTCCGCGACCACACGAGCTGCAGCACGATTGGCCCGTCAGTACCATCAGCTGCCTCAGGAGTCCCACGAGCCAACAAGACCCGATAGGACTCCTCCTTCAGCTTGACTCATCCCTTTCTTCTGGTGTCCACCACCGGGTTCGGGGATTGTCGCCGCGACAGGCACCACAGACCTTATGCCCACAGCTCTGAGTAACTGACAATAGAGGCCGAGAATGAAGCCCACTTGGACTCCATGTCTCCAGACCCCCCCCCTGGAGGTTTGAGATGAAAGTCTCTCTGACAGAGGCTCCGCCAGACGTTCCCAACAGACCCTCACTACACGCTACACCACACTTCCTCCTCCACCAGTGAACCACCTCAAAACCAGGTGGAGTCTACAGCTCAGCTCCTCTCTTCACTCGAGTGTCCAGGACATGTGGCCGGAGGTCACATGATACGACCACAAAGTGGATCGTGGACCTCCAGCCGAGGGTGTCCTGGTGCCGCCTGCACTGATGGACCTTGTGCTGAACATGGTGTTGGTTCTGGACAAACTGACTCACACACAAGTCCAATAACAGAACAACGCTTGGTTCAGATCAGGAGAAGGTTCCTCTCCAAGTGTCCCACAGTAGAACAACAGATTCCCCTGTCGGTGCACTGTCCAGTCCCTCTGAGGACCTGGCAGAAGGTCGGGTACTCTGGCAGAAGGTCGGGTACTCTGGCAGAAGGTCGGGTACTCTGGCAGAAGGTCGGGTACTCTGGCAGAAGGTCGGGTACTCTGGCAGAAGGTCGGGTACTCTGGCAGAAGGTCGGGTACTCTGGCAGAAGGTCGGGTACTCTGCGCTGCTGTTTGGATATAATCACATGTTTTGTTGTTTTTTGAATTTGGAGAAAAACTTTAAGGTATTTTGAGGATTTAAACTGAAAAACACAGAAGAATCCTGCAGAACGTTTCCAGATCCACGTCTGAAACACTTTTGTAATTTTACTCAATCAAATAAAATCAGTGAAACTCTTGTTTGTGCCTCGTTCCGTCACAGATTAAAATGACACAGAGCAGCTGCTCGGAGCGACGTGATTGGTGGAGAGACCGTCTGTCGCCCACACGGGGATAAACAGGAGGAGAGTTAGGCTCAGGTCAGAGTCCGGCTTCAGAGAGACCAGAGTCCGGCTTCAGAGAGACCAGAGTCCGGCTTCAGAGAGACCAGAGTCCGGCTTCAGAGAGACCAGAGTCCGGCTTCAGAGAGACCAGAGTCCGGCTTCAGAGAGACCAGAGTCCGGCTTCAGAGAGACCAGAGTCCGGCTTCAGCGAGACCAGAGTCCGGCTTCAGCGAGACCAGAGTCCGGCTTCAGAGAGACCAGAGTCCGGCTTCAGCAAGACCAGAGTCCGGCTTCAGAGAGACCAGAGTCCGGCTTCAGAGAGAGAGACCAGAGTCCACAGCAGCGAGTCCGGGACAGAACCGCTCCACTGTCTCCCAGCTTTAGCCCAGATAAAACCTCATTTTTACTTTGGACTCTTTTTGGAAATCACAAAATGTGTTTTTAGTCCTGGTTTAGTCCTGGTTTAGTCCTGGTTTAGTCCTGGTTTAGTCCTGGTTCATTTGCTGCTCTGATGTAAAACTGTATTTTTTGTAAATGTTTGTGAGGAAAGTCTTTATTTTGACACAAACATTTTTCTTGTGACATTTTTCACTGAAACGACACGAGTTTAAGAAATTGTAAAGTAAAAGTTTTTAAAGGTGAATTTTAAATTTCTGTCAGTGAAAACTGTTGGAATTAAACCCACACACTCGTGTTTTTCTCCTGTTCGAACAGTTGGAGTTTGTCGTTCACATCATTTACTTTAACTCAGTGTTGTGTGTTTGAAATACAAAATGACTCGACTGTTTTTGTGATTTTAACTTTGAATTTGAGGTTTTTGGTTTAGAAAAAACAGTTTCATTGTTTAAATGTTTGAGTCTTTTTGTTCACAGATTTGAATTTTTGTGATTTGACAAAGTAAAGACTCAGACGAACACGACTGCCTGGTTCAGACCTGGTTCAGACCTGGTTCAGACCTGGTTCAGACCTGGTTCAGACCTGGTTTAGACCTGGTTCAGACCTGTTTTAGACCTGGTTTAGACCTGGTTCAGACTTGGTTCAGTCCTGAATGTGTGAATTGAAAATTGTAGTTTTAAATCATTTTGTCTTGAGTTTTTTTCTTATTTTCTTGAATTTAAATGTGATTTTTTTAGAAGATCTCAGGACGTGTTTGGGATTTTACATGATGTGATCATTTCCTGATCGTCTCTGTTTAAAAAACAAACAAACATGAAACTAAGACATTAAACAGTTTTTTTTTCTGTATTATTCTAAACCAGGAGTGTCCAAACTGTTTTCATCAAGGCCACGTGTCTGAACCCAGATGAAGCAGAGACGATCGAGGCCACAGATGCTCAGTACAGAGAAACAAACAAACATGTTCAGGTTGAACACGTTTCAATGAGCCTCAGTTTTTATTCATCATAAAATCCTTAAAACCACAAACTCTAAATATTAAATATTGACTTTATCAAGGTAGATTTAAAAAAACAACTTGCAATAAAAAGTTCATTTTTAATTGACGTAAGGTCATTTGGGCCAATTCAGCTGGAAGCCTGAGGGCCAAGAAAAATTTGTCTGAGGGCCACATTTGGCCCACAGGCCTTAGTTTGGACATGTCTGATCTAAACGTCTGAGACACGAACAGAGACACGATCCACACGACAACTGTTCTGTTCTGTTCTGTGTGTGTGTGTGTGTGTGTGTGCTGTGTGTTCTGTGTGTGTGTTTGGTGCTGTGTGTTTGGTGCTGTGTGTGTGTGTGTTTGGTGCGTGTGTGTGTGTGTTTGGTGCTGTGTGTGTGTGTTTGGTGCTGTGTGTTTGGTGCTGTGTGTGTGTGTGTTTGGTGCTGTGTGTGTGTGTGTTTGGTGCTGTGTGTGTGTGTGTGTGTGTTTGGTGCTGTGTGTTTGGTGCTGTGTGTGTGTGTGTTTGGTGCTGTGTGTGTGTGTGTTTGGTGCTGTGTGTGTGTTGTGTGTGGTGTGTGTGTGTGTGTGTGTGTGTGTGTTTGGTGCTGTGTGTGTGTGTTTGGTGCTGTGTGCCGGGGGTCATGTCTAACTGGACCCAGGTCGCTCACTTCTCTCTGGGGGGGTACTCGGAGCCGGGGCCCCTGCGCTGGTTCTACTTCCTGTTCATACTGTGTGCTTATGCACTGATCCTGAGCTCCAACCTGCTCCTCGTGGCTCTGATCGCCGTGAGCCGGAGCCTCCACCAGCCCATGTACCTGCTCCTCTGCTCTCTGTTTGTGAACGAGGTGTTGGGCAGCTCCGCCCTGTTCCCCTTCCTGCTCCACCAGGTCCTTCAGGAGGAGCACATCATCTCCTACTCCCTCTGCTACCTGCAGATCTTCTGCATCTACCTGTACGCCTGCGTGGAGGTCTTCACGCTCGCCGCCATGGCGTACGACCGTTACGTGGCGATCTGCCGCCCGCTGCGGTACCACGCGCTGATGACGCGGGGGCGGGTGGCGCTGTTGCTGTGCGGGACGTGGTCGGTGCCGGCGGCGTTCATCGCGGCGCTGGTGTGGCTCAGCGCGGCGCTGCCTCTGTGCGGAAACGTCATCGACAGAGTTTACTGCGGAAACTACGCCGTGGTGAAGCTGGCGTGTTCGTCCACGCGCCTGCAGAACATCTACGGCCTCTTCTACATGGTCCTGCAGATGGTCCTGCCGCTGCTGCTCATCCTCTACACGTACGGACGCATCCTGCACGTGTGCCTGTCCGCCCCGGGGCGGGCGCGGCACCGGGCGCGCCTCAGGGCCGCGGGCACCTGCGTGCCGCACCTGTCGTCTCTGTTGAACTTCTGTCTGGGCTGCTGCTCGCAGGTGCTCATGAGCCGCTTCGACGTGAGCTGGATCCCCGCCGCTCTGCAGGTGACCCTGTCCCTCTACTTCTTCACCTGTCAGCCCCTGTTCAACCCCGTCATCTACGGCCTCAACCTCAGGCAGGTGCGACAGGAGCTCCAGCGCCTGTCACAGGGTCACTTCTCCTGACAGGGTAACACCTGTCACAGGGTCACAAACATCTGCAGAAGTTTGGACAAAACACAAACCTTCAAACATCAACTTTAACATAAACCACGTGCCCTTTGGCAACGCACTTCACTCCGAACAACAAACACCTGCTCAAAGAGAACATGAGCACCTGTCACTGCACACACTCACTGCACACTCACACTCACTCACTGGTCACACTCACACACTCACACACTCACACACACACACACTCACACACACACACACTCACACACACTCACACACACACTCACACACTCACACACACACACACTCACACACACACACACACTCACACACACACACACACACACTCACACACACACACACTCACACACTCACACACACACACACTCACACTCACTCACACACTCACACTCACACACACACTCACACACACACTCACACACTCACACACACACACACACACACACACACACACACACACACACACACACACACACACACACACACACACACACACACACACACACACACTCTGTTCCACCTGGTGATGTCACTCTTGGAGCTGCTGATCTGAGTTCAGGAGGTGGAGCAGAGAGTTTGAAGTTTTGTAAATGTGAACAGACGAATAATAAAGAATCACTCAAACAAACACAAGTCCAGAGTGTGAAAGAACAGAGTGAGAACAACAGAACAACAGAACATCAGAACAACAGAACATCAGAACATCAGAACAACAGAACATCAGAACATCAGAACAGAACAGAACATCAGAACAACAGAACAACAGAACACAGAACATCAGAACAACAGAACAACAACAGAACAACAGAAACAGAACAACAGAACATCAGAAACAGAAACAGAACATCAGAACAGAACACAGAACAGAACATGAACAGAACATCAGAAACAGAAACAGAACAACAGAAACAGAACAACAGAACATCAGAACAACAGAACAGACATCAACAACAGAACACAGAACATCAGAACATCAGAACATCAGAACAGAACAAACAGAACAACAGAACATCAGAACACAGAACAGACAGAACATCACAGACATCAGAACATCAACAGAACACAGAACAACAGAACAACAGAAATCAGAACAACAGAACATCAGAACAACAGAAACATCAGAAACAATCAGAACAGAACATCAGAACAACAGAACATCAGAACAACAGAACAACAGAACATCAGAACAACAGAACATCAGAACAACAGAACAACAGAACATCAGAACATCAGAACAATCAGAACAACAGAACAATCAGAACAGAAATCAGAACATCAGAACAACAGAACAACAGAACAGAACATCAGAACGAAATCAGAACAACAGAACAACAGAACATCAGAACACACAGAAATCAGAACAACAGAACAACAGAACATCAGAACAACAGAACAACAGAACATCAGAACAACAGAACAACAGAACACAGAACACAGAACATCAGAACAACAGAACAACAGAACAGAACATCAGAACATCAGAACATCAGAACACAGAGAACATCAACAGAACATCAGAACAACAGAAACAGAACAACAGAACATCAGAACAACAGAACAACAGAACATCAGAACAACAGAACAACAGAACAAACAGAACATCAGAACAACAGAACATCAGAACAACAGAAACAGAACAACAGAACATCAGAACATCAGAACAACAGAACAACAGAACAACAGAACATCAGAAACAACAGAAATCAGAAGAACAGAACATCAGAACACAGAACACAGAACATCAACAGAACAACAGAACATCAGAACATCAGAACAACAGAACAGAACATCAGAACAACAGAACAACAGAACATCAGAACACAACAGAACAACAGAACAACAGAACAACAGAACATCAGAACAACAGAACATCAGAACAACAGAACAACAGAAACACAGAACATCAGAACATCAACAGAACATCAGAACAACAGAACATCAGAACATTCAGAACAACAGAAATCAGAACAACAGAACAACAGAACAACAGAACAGAACAACAGAAAACATCAGAACAATCAGAACAACAGAACACAGAACATCAGAACATCAGAACATCAGAACAACAGAACATCAACAACAGAACAGAACATCAGAACATCAGAACAACAGACATCAAACAGAACAACAGAACATCAGAACATCAGAACAACAGAACAACAGAACATCAGAACAACAGAACATCAGAACAACAGAACATCAGAACAACAGAACATCAGAACAACAGAACATCAGAACACAGAAACAGAACATCAGAACAGAAACAGAACAACAGAACAATCAGACAACAGAACATCAGAACAACAGAACATCAAACAGAACATCAGAACAACAGAAACAGAAGAACACACAGAACATCAGAACAACAGAACAACAGAACATCAGAACAACAGAACATCAGAACAACAGAACAATCAGAACATCAGAACAACAACAGAAACAACAACAGAACATCAGAAACATCAGAACAACACAGAACAACAGAACATCAGAACAACAGAACATCAGAACAAACAGAAACAGAACACAGAACATCAGAACAACAGAACATCAGAACACAGAACATCAGAACACAGAACAACAGAACAGAAACAGAACATCAGAACATCAGAAACAACAGAACATCAGAACATCAGAAAACAGAACAACAGAACAACAGAACATCAGAACATCAGAACATTAGAACAACAGAACAACAGAACATCAGAACAACAGAACATCAGAACATCAGGTGGATCAGTCTGTGGTTTAAAACAGAAGAACTTCACGTGTGGAAAATCAGACTGTGGGAACTCGGGTTCGTGAGGATTTTTATTTTCATCTTTTAATCTAATTCAAGCCAAACTGTGACGTCTGAGTCTGATTCATCAAAAATATTTCAGTCATGAACCTGTCACCAGCTCCTCAGCCTCTTCTCCAGAACACAGGGCCTCCACGCAAAGGGTCTCGGGGTCTCGGAGCCTCGAAGTCTCTGGGCCTCAGCGCCTTGGCACTCGGGGTCTCGGGGTCTCGGGGCCTCGGGGTCTCGGGGCTCGGGGTCTCGGGGTCTCGGGGGCCTCGGGGCCTCGGGCCTCGGGGCCTCGGGGTCTCGGGGGGGTCTCGGGGCCTCGGGGCCTCGGGGCCTCGGGGTCTCGGGGTCGGGTCTCGGGGTCTCGGGGTCTCGGGGTCTCGGGGCCTCGGGGTCTCGGGGTCTCGGGGTCTCGGTCTCGGTCTCGGGTCTCGGGGTCTCGGGGCTCGGGCTCGGGGCCTCGGGTCTCGGGGCCTCGGGGCCTCGGGGTCTCGGGGCCTCGGGTCTCGGGTCTCGGGGTCTCGGGGTCTCGGGTCTCGGGTCTCGGGGTCTCGGGGTCTCGGGGTCTCGGGGCCTCGGGGTCTCGGGGTCTCGGGGTCTCGGGGTCTCGGGGTCTCGGGGTCTCGGGGGGGTCTCGGGGTCTCGGGGTCTCGGGGCCTCGGGGTCTCGGGGCCTCGGGGCCTCGGGGTCTCGGGGCCTCTGTGTTCAGGGCCTCTCACACTTTCACAGCCTCAGGTCGTTTCTCTTCACTGGTTTTGAGGAGTTTTGTTCAAGTTTTGTTCAAGTTGAGCAGAAATGACCAAAATATAATTTAAACAAAAATCATCTCCAGTCCACTTTATTTCCACAGCACATTTCATGAACAAAACTGTTTCCAAAGTTCTGCACAAATAAATAAAACACGTCCAATCGAAAAAACAAATGAAGTTCTACTCGACTCCACTGGTCTGGGGCCAAGGGTGGGCGGGGTTTGGTGGGCGGGGTTTGAGAGTGGGCGGGGCTAGGGGTGGGCGGGGTTTGAGAGTGGGCGGGGCTAGGGTGTGTGTGTGATAAAGTCCGCTGTGAGTCCGGGTGTGTTTCTGCTGCGGGGCTCAGGTTCTGTCTGTGGTTTCTTCTGTAAAGCCACAGTGCGGAGCTTTTCCACAGCAGTAAACACAGTGATGAAGGTTTGGGACGTGTTTGTTTGATGTTTGTTTGATTTTCGTCGGATCCTCAGCTCCGATACGAACTGTTCAAGGTGAAAGAGTCCGGACTCGACCTGGTTTCAAATGTGTTGGTGTTTGTTTTTTTGTGTTTTTTTAAAGTGGACGTTTGACGTTTGCTGCAGGTTTGGGTTTGGTGATGTTTCGTCTGGTCAGAGTCTCACGCTCAAGTCTAAACTTCAGACTCACTTCACTGGAGTCAAGCTCTAAGATCTGCTCTAACTTCACAAGGAACCAGCTTCATCTCACTCGAACTTGAGGAGTAACTGGTCTTTTGTTTAGTTCTGGGTTAGACCTGCTAAAGACCTGGTTTAGTCCTGGTTTAGTCCTGGTTCAGTCCTGGTTTAGTCCTGGTTCAGTCCTGGTTCAGTCCTGGTTCAGTCCTGGTTTAGTCCTGGTTCTTCAGAATGTTCTCATGTTGTTTCTTTCTCAAAAACATAATTCAACAGCTTCTCAACATGTAAACCCCAAAACATAAAATATTTTATTTATTCATCATATGGTTTAGTCCTGGTTTAAACCTGGTTTAGACCTGGTTCAGTCTTGGTTTAGTTCTGGTTTAAACCTGTTTCTCACCAGTGACTTACTTAAGTCTTAAGACAATCTTAAACTTTATTCATTCATGAAGGACTTTATTTAAACTCAGAAAATCAATACAATCTCTTCTGCTTTAGTCCTGGTTTAGTCCTGGTTTAGTCCTGGTTTAGTCCTGGTTTAGTCCTGGTTTAGTCCTGGTTTAGTCCTGGTTTAGTCCTGGTTTAGTCCTGGACTTGGTCTCAAATGAAATATCTCTGGTGTCTTTTGGTTTTGCAGATTTTCTAGTCTTGTGTTTGTCTTTTTCTGTTTTGTTCATGTGACTCGGTGGAAGTGACTCGAAGGACCTGGTGTGTGTTTCGACAAAGACTCGATGTGCTTAGATTCGTTGATCATTTTTGGTGTTTAAATCTTTCGTAAATGATTTAAACTTGTCTGCAGACTTCAGAAACACGTCAGAGAGTCTGAGCTCCGACAGGAACCTGAAAGTTGAAAGTTTAAAAGTTTAAATAAAACAAAACAGATTTGTTCCCGTTTGTTTTGGTGATAAAAGTGAAAGTTCTGCGTCGGTTTTCTTCTGTGTCCCTCAGAGCTGAACCTTCTGCTCTTGGGCCTCGGACTCTGCGAACATCTGGAGCCTTTGTGAGAGACATGGAGACACTCGGAGACAAAGACGACGACAGAAGAGTTGATTTTCATTGAAGAGTTTAGAGAATCAGACGCAGCCACAGTTTCACCTGTTTCTTTGCCAAACGTGTTTTAATGTTGAAGGTAAATGTCCCGTTTGAGAAACTCATGTGGGACAAACGACTAAACAAAGACAAACGAGGACAAACGAGGACAAACGAGGACAAACTGATCTTCTGTGGATTTGACCTTTTGTTTTTAAAACATGACGTCTTTTAAAAATCTGAAAGTTTCTCCTAAATTTAATGTTAAAATGTGAAATATGTTTATGAAAATCATTTTGGATTATGGAGTTGGTTCAGTCCTGGTTTAGTCCTGGTTCAGTCCTGGTTTAGTTCCTGGTTTAGTCCTGGGTTTTAGTCCTGGTGGTTTAGTTAGTCTGGTTTAGTAGTCCTGGTTTAGTCCTGGTTTAGTCCTGGTTCTGGTTTAGTCCTGGTTTAGTCCTGGTTTAGTCCTGGTTAGTCCTGGTTTAGTCCTGGTTTCAGTCCTGGTTTAGTTTCCTGGTTTTAGTCCTGGTTTAGTTCCTGGTTTAGTCCTGGTTTAGTTCTGGGTGTTTAGTCCTGTTTAGTGGTTTAGTCCTGGTTTAGTCCTGGTTTAGTCCTGGTTTAGTCCTGGTTTAGTCCTGGTTTAGTCCTGGTTTAGTCCTGGTTTAGTCCTGGTTAGTCCTGGTTCAGTCCTGGTTTAGTCCTGGTTTCAGTCCTGGTTAGTCCTGGTTTAGTCCTGGTTCAGTCCTGGTTTCAGTCCTGGTTTAGTCCTGGTTTAGTCCTGGTTTAGTCCTGGTTCAGTCCTGGGTCCTTTAGTCCTGGTTTAGTCCTGGTTTAGTCCTGGTTTAGTCCTGGTTTAGTCCTGGTTTAGTCCTGGTTTAGTCCCGGTGTTTTTCACACTATGATGAACTCGACTCTGGTCTTGTGGATTCGTCTCGGGGGTTTTTACGACGTGGCTCATCTCAGAAGTTTCTACATGTTTGTGGTGGTGGTTCTGTATCTTCTCATCTTGTTCTCCAACGTTCTCCTGATCTGCTCCGTCGTTCTGCATCGGAACCTCCACGAGCCCATGTACGTGTTCCTGTGCTCGCTCTTCTTCAACGAGCTCTACGGCAGCAGCTTCGTGGTTCTGTTCGTCCTGGTGCAGATCTCCGGAGGTTCTCACGTGGTCTCCAGGTCCCTGTGCCTCCTGCAGATCTTCCACATCTACTCGTACGTGTCTGTGGAGTTCACCAACCTCGCCGTGATCTCGTACGATCGTTACGTGGCCATCTGCCGCCCGCTGCGGTACGGCGCGCACATGAGCCCCGGGAGGGTTCGCGTTCTGCTGGTTCTGGTCTGGTTCCCGCCGGCGTTGGCCGTCGGCGTCACGACGCTCCTCACGGCGTCTCTGACTCTGTGCGGCGACGTGATCGATAAAGTTTACTGCGACAACTACAGCATCATCAAACTGTCGTGTCGCGACGCCGCCGTCAACAACT